TGGACAAGAGAGAAAAAAATACGGACGCCAAGTGTTTCATCTTTATGAGTTAAGACATAAGCCCAAGTTGCACGAGAGAAATCATTCGCAATACGACTTTGTTATCATTCAGTTTTTAGTTTGTGAAAGGCTCCGCATAAATTAAGTTTTAATAAGTATTTCATGCATTTAATTATTGATTTTTTGTTTTTAAATGTTTTTATTTAAATGTGCTTTTAATTTTTAAAAATAAAAGGGGTTGTTACATTTTAAATTATGAATTAGGTACGTATATATTCATCCCAATTTATATCAAAACTGAATTACCTCGAATCATACTAAACCGTTATTTCAGGATCAAAATTGATACATTGCAAAGTTAAAATTTCATACCAAACTAAAATATTTGATACACTATTAGTACAACTTAAATATGGTACCATACCATAGTATCATTCAATGCTCACACCTATTTTCACCAATAATGCTATATATAGCAATCTGCAAAGGGGGTCTGAAGGAGGAGTGCAAGGGCAGGCAGTGAAATTTAGTGAGTATTTCTTTGTGCTTATAAGTTGGTCAAAACTGCTTATAAGTTATTTTTTAATTATAATAAGTAAGCAGATGACGTATTTATGTATGCTTATAACCTAACTTATAACCACATAACTTACCAGCTTTTCCTTCACCCATTATCAATAGAGAAGGTATATGGTACATCCAGATGTACCTAGAGATAGGTACATCCGGGTAGTACTCATTTTGAAGTAGAGTAGTACTCATTCTCGCACAAACTGACAAACATAACTATTTATTTAGAATTAGCGTGGTACTCATTCTAAAATAACGTAGTACTCATTCTGAAATAATGTAGTACTCATTTTTACACATTTATTCCTTACAATTATAATATTTATCCACAAATAACGTAATATTCATTCTAAATTAAAATAGTACTCATTCTCAAATTACATAATGCTCATTCTCAAATAAAATAAAACTCAGCATAAATAACCTGGCTTCCAACCGACTAGGGTTTTCATCGGAGGCCTCTCCTCGACTCCTCCCATCTACCGCCTTTCTTCTTCGTCAACCTCTGTAAAGCAGCGGCAACCTTTGCAGCTCTATCTTCCTTCTCTATTGTTTTTAACAAATTTTCGCCGCCATCACTCCTCGTCATCCTCCCTGCTCCACCGTCTTCGTCTTTGCTGCTCTATATCCTTCATCTCCGATGGTCCGACCCGACAAAAAGACGAGCGGCTTCAACTCCAGCGGCTCCCATTCCATTAATTTTTCTTCCTTAATTAGCCGGTTGTACCCAATTCTAATACAACCGGGTGTACCATATAATTTGCGATTATCAATATCCCCAAATAAATTATATATCATTTAAGTCATTTTATCTATACAAAATAATTTTTAAATTATAAGTAAATTATACTAAAATCTACTCTCTCCGTTCCACAAAACCCTTCCCCTTTAGTTTTTTTTGTTTTCCACAAAACACTTCCACTTTCTATTAAAAAACCACTTTTATCCCTACTTTTTCATACCATACCTATCACATCATACTTTTTCACTAATAACCAAACTATCACATCTTACTTTTTCCCATCACATCAAGGGCAAAATTGGAAAGTCAACCAAAATTACACTTTTTTTATTTTTGCCCAAAGTCAAAATGGGAATGGTTTTGTGGAACGGAGGGAGTATTTATAATGTAATAAATCAATCATCACTAGAATCAACCTGAAGCGTCCAATTAAAAGCTTTCGGAGTATCCCTTATTTTTTTAACAGTCCCGCTAGGGGTACACCGTACGGGTACCCCAAAATCACCACCATATACACCCACACGGCCAAACCCCCCCACCCCCACTTCCCCACCCACGTTAGTTTCCCACCTTTTTTCCTTACCCATTCCCTCTCTTCCCTGGCACGATTTCTCCGCTGGCGTCAACTACCCTAGATTTCTGACACAATCGATTTCTCCCACCGGAACGCCATCGGATGTTACGGCCGGCCTTCCAACCCGTGTCGCCGGCAGAAGAAGTAAACGGCGTAAGGAAGTCCATCGTGTTCCTGAGAGTCGCGCACATCAACACCTGTTTCCGTCACCATCATCGTCAATCATCATCACAATCTGGAAGCTTTGCTGTAGGATTGTGTGCGTGATAATGTACGAAGAACCTATGGTCCTCCCTATGTTTGCAGGTAAGTTATGCCGTACAGTAAACAGTTTATGAACCTCTGTCATTCTAATTTTCAATTTTATAACTCACACAGAGACTATGATGTATATGAAGTTCTAACATAGATGAAAAGTGTTTGTGAAAATCTTAAAGAATGGAATTTTTTGGGAAAATAGTCCTTTATTGTACGTGGATGATGATTTTTCGTAGTAGTCGTATTGAACCATATTTAAAAGGAAGACGAAGGGGTAAAAGATTATTTTGTTTGTCACTCTCTTTTCACAGACAGTATATTATTTAAATTAGAGCGTCACAGACATTTAATGTATGTAATAATTGGAATAAGGGGAATTGTAGTGTTGTGACAGGTCTGTTGGTTTTTGACGAATATAGTTGTTATATCCATATGTTTGGTTAGACAACTACGTGTTTACAGTATTTCAACACAGACATACAATGT